GAGCCCCGTGACATGCCGGGCCTCTGTCAAGACAAGTGGGGGACCCAAGCCGGCCAGGAGGGAGGGATATGCAACAATCCCTGCTTCGCTGAGACCCTGGTTCAAATTCCAATTTTCACATCTCTTTCTGCATGATCCTGGAAAGTCATTTCACTGGGGTCACAGAATCTGTTTCCTCATCCAGCTAAATGTGCTTAAGAAGAGATATTATCTCTTAAGCCTTTATTGCAGCCCAGAGCAAGCCACAAAGTCAATGCCAAAGACATTTTTTTCCCTTCCCTTTCCTTTCACTCACAATCATCTCAAGACCTCTCCTTGCCAGGCTTCACTATGGGACCCCCAAATGTCTCTGTGTCACTATGTAGGGAATCCAAAGGGCCCTGAAACCTCTCTCACTGGGATCCAAGCAAGTGCTGCCAGCCCCGGAAGACACAACACAGGCTGTTGGAATCACCCCAGAGGGAGTGATTTTCCCCAGGGACTATGGATTTTTTGTGAAACTGGAGCTAAGTTCTCTGCACAGTACCCACCTCCCCCTGCCCCAACTACTGCCTACAGGGTTCTCAACTGCTAGGACAGGGCAAGGAGTAGGTGATTGCTATCTTTTTGTTGTCAAACAGATGAAAGAGTAAAGGAGAAGTAATAATGATTAATGTCTACTGAACTCGTATATAGCAACAAGCACTCATGACCAACTTGTCTTGATTTGCCTAGAACTTTCCCGGCTTTGAAACTGGGGAAATCCCTTGGTCCCGGGCAAAACAGGATAGTTGGTCACCCTAGATCTAGATGAACTAATTTAGCCTTCTTAACCTGCAAAGTTGAAGTTGGCACTATTGGTGAACCCTTCTCAGCAGGCAACTAGAGGTAAAGAACAACCTGTGGCCGTTACTGGGGAAACCCATGGATGGATCATGGAAAGGCGGGAGGTGGATGGTTATAGCTCAGTGGCTAAGTGCCTAGACTCTGTGTCTAACAGACTAGGGTTTAAATCCTAGGCTGTTTCTAGATCCAATTCTTGGACCCTTAAGCAGCTCTGGGCCTCAATTTCCTCATTCTAAAACAGAATCAAAAAGCTTATTGCAAGAATAAACTAAATGGGTACATGGCACACTATTAGTGCCACCTAAATGCTGGCTATTATGATTAAGGGCACAAATCACAAGCAAACAAAAAAAAGAGTGTAAAAGGAACAGAAAAAGTGCTAAGGATATCAAGAGGAGGAAGTACCAAAATGCACATTTGAACTCCAGTAACCCTCACTCTTCCTGGAGCCTGGCAGGAGCAGGAAACTTGGTGGATGTCAGTTTTCTTTCCTCTCATTAACTGAAATGCAAGTTCTATCTTTGTGTCATTCTTATCTCATCTAGGGTCCAGTCCCCTGCAATTTACTGTCCCCACAGGAGCCCCAGTGACCTTTAAATGTAGCTACGTGACCTCAGGCTAGTGGTTTAACCTCTCTGGCCCTCTGTTTCCTCTTCTGGATTGTCTGTGAGGATTAAATGAGTTAAAGCATTTAACTCATTTAACTTCATAAGCACCTGGCATTTAGTAAGGGCTCAAAAAATGTTAGCTATGATCATCAGCGTCATTAGCCATTATCCGTCCAGGGGATTTCCATCACAGTTGGAATAAAATCCTGCTTCCCTGCCCTGATTTTCCTAGTATTTGGTAGAGTCCACCCAATCTCATCCACTCTCACTCTTTTTTCATTCTGCTCCAGCCATACTGGCCTTTTGTTTCCTTAAACACGGAAATTAAATTCTTCTCACTCAGGGCCTTTGCACTTGCTGTTCCCTCTGCTTGGAATGATCTTCCCACATCTGGCACCTTGTCCAATTGATCTCAGCTTAAATGGCACTGCTTTAGGGAGGCCTCCCCTTCCTACCTAGCAGTTACTCTCAATCACATCAGCCTGGTTTATTTTCTTTATAGATGTTTTTACAATTTAATATTGGCTTATGATTATTGATTGGTTAACGGAGACATAGTCTGTCTCCATGAGGGCTGAGGTCTGGTTCACCACTCATTCCCAGTGCCTAGAACAGTGCCTGGCACAGAATAGGTACTGAATAAATATTTGCTGAGTGATTGAACTGGTTTGGAGTCCTCAAATGTGTCTGGGAGCAGGTGATACCTACAGAAGCCTAGGATTCTTTATCAACTCTTGTACCTTGTCAGTCTCAGTCCAGCTAACTCTATACACAACCCTGATCTGGGCTAGGGGACCACCATGTATAATCACTGGCCTTGATTCCAGGGACTTGTCCACTCAGCCTGCTTCTCTCCCTCATATAGGTTTCCCCTTTCTTGCAAAACTTGTGCCCCTGATCCTCACACTTCAGAGTGATGTTGGCAGATGTGCAGCCCAGAAGGGTTTTGGCAGCCTCTCCAAGTCCTCAGCACTTGGCTTGAGGGATGGAGAGATCAGAAATCCCAAATCCCTTCCCACATTCCCTCCTGGCTTTAAAGAGGGAAGGGGAAACTTCCTAGCATTCAAAGGGACAGGAAAGAAAGGCTTTTCTAGCCTCTGTTGTGCATCCAGTACAGGGATACTGCAGAAAACCAAGACAGCAAAGCGGTTAAGTGCTTTGCAAAGCAGAAGCTGGTTCAAATCCTGCTTCTGCCATTTTCTAGAGCAGAGGTCAGCAAACTGTTCCTGTAAAGGGCCAGATGACGCATACTTTAGATTTTGCAGGCCTTCTGGTCTCAGTCACAGCTGATGTAGCATGGAGCAGCTATAAACAATATTTAAATGAACAGGCTGCTCGCTAGATTCGGCCCACGGGCTCTCGTTTGCCCCTCACTCCCCCCATTGAAGAATTAAAAAGTAAATCTCTTTATGAGCCTCATGTTCCACATTTATATATGAGGATGAACTAGTACTTGTCTACTTCTCTGAGTGGCAGTGAGATTGTAATGTAATAAAGTATATAAAGTGCAAAACCTAGTACTTGGCACACCAAAGGGCTAATAAATGTCTCTGGTAATTACTAGTAATTAGTCTTTTTAACAACAAAAAGTGCTTTATATATATTAACTCACTTCAACCTGATAACAACCTATATGATAGGAATCATCATCCCATTTTACAGATGAGAAAACAGACCCAGAGAGGGTAAGTAATTAGCTCAAGTCATCCTTTCTTCAGAGCCCATGCTCTTAACCACTCCACTCCATTGTCTCTCTTTTTTAATGATCCCATTTAATCCTCACAGCAATCCCTTGAGAGAGCTATCATGGCTCCTGTTTTGCAGACTGGGAAACTGAGATATGGCAAGAGGAAATAACTAGTCCAAGTAAATAAACACAGGCTCCACTGGATAGCAAGTTGGATTTCTGCCCAAGATGTCAGCGTGCATAGCCTGGCTCCCCATCTCCTCTCCCTGTCTCCAGCTGTATTTTCTTTGGATCCCTGCACGGCTTGGAGAAGCTGCATCAGTCTATCTTCCCTCCTGACCGCTCCCCCACCCCTAACACCAAACAAACCCCTCAGGAAATGACCCTGCACCTTCTCACTCTGCCTGAGCCCATGAGCACCGCAACGTATGTGCCTGTGTTGGTCAATGTGGGTAAGCTTGAGGGCATGTGATAGGGGACCCAATTGGGAAGAGGGGAGGGGTATGAGTGGCGGGGCAGACGTCAGACCAGGAGACCCTGATTGCATCTCTCCAAACAGGCAGAATGACCACCTGTTTCCAGAAAGCAGCTGGATGGAACTACCCCCATGGGGGCTAGACATTTACCAAATGGAGAGAAGAGAAATAAAGGGCCAGGACTTCCTGAGTTCAGCCAGGACACAGTTGCCTTTCTGTGGCTTCTAAAGCTTGGAGACATGATCTTTTGGTTTCTTCTTTTCTTTCTCATTTCCTCCTTGCAGACCAATTCCTTTTTCTGTCAAAGGAGCTGGCGACTTGGTCCCCAAAGGCTCTTCCCGGTTTGAAACTCAAGAATTCCAATGCTTCTTTTAGGGTATTGCTTCCCCAGATCCTGGGGCCTTTGCATCCCTGTTTCTGGTACCTCTCATGCTCAGCTCCGATGCTGACCTCCAGCAGCTCACTCTTCTCTCTGATTTCTTTCTCCTTTGTTGTCTTCACGCTCCATCCTCCTTTCTAGTTCCCATGCCTCTTGCAGCCTGCTAGCAGACTCTGACTCACGAGGCCTCTTTCTTGACGATCCTCTAACCCTCTCTCCTGTCTTTATTTTTAAGAGTCACTGAGCATGGGCTTCCCACCCTCTTACTGGTTTGAAGAAGGGATAGAAGATCGGTAGCAATGCTATCTAGATGTTTGGAGTTCATAAGCCAGTAATAAAATTTCAAAGTAATAGAAGGGAGGGAGCAACAAGAGATGGTGCCTTTTCCTTTTGATAATAAGGATGGGCTACCATCTTCAGCCTAAGCTTGTCTCTTTTTGGGAGGATCTCCCTAAAGGTTGCAAGAAGTACCCGATCCATTCCAGCCTCTTGAATTATTTTGAGATGATCTAACACTGCGGTCTCTGGGGGCTTGACATAAACAGGCTTTGATCTGACAAGGATTGCCAACACCCCAGTCATGAATCATGAGGACATCCTGGCCCTCCAGCTTCCCTCCTCTCTTCACCCAGTTAGATCCATAATTTATCACCCCTGCCCCCGCTGCAATACTAAGTTCTGCCCCTCTCCCAGTCTTCTTCATCTCAGATCATGGCACCCAGATGTTCAAGTCAAAAGCATAGGAGTCACATTTAACTCCTTCATGCCTTCTACTCCATGTCAGCAAGTAATTGTGTCTGTAACTCCAAAAGATGTTCCATATCTATACTTTCTCCTCCATTTGCACCAACACTGGTCCAACCGTTTTCATCTTTTACCTGGACAGTTTGCCTCATCTCCCTGCCTCACTATTGCCCCTATAGGTCTAGTCTTCCTGCACCAACCAAAGTGAGCTTTAAAAATAGAAATCATAGCGTTTTACTACCCTGCTCAAAACCCTTCATTTGCCCCCATTGCACACAAAATAAAATCCAGACTGTGGCCATGATCCTTGACAGAGTCTAGGTGATCTAGCTCCTGCCTACCTTCCTTTTCTACTACTGTACCTTTTACCACTGTTTGGAAAACACCAAACTCACTCAGCTTCAAGCTTTCCGTTAACTCCTCCTTCTACCAGCTGCAACTTTGTACACAGATCTTTGTATAGTTAGCTCCCTTCATTCACCCAGATCTCTACTCAGTTGTCTCCCTCACTGAGAGGCCCCTTCCCCATTATTACCTGTCATTTTGTTTAATTCTCTATTGTCTGTTTCTTCCAGTAGATTGTAAGCTTCATGGAGGTGGAGCCTGACAGTTATTCATGGCTTTATCCCTAGTGCCCGTACACAGCCATGGTCTCGTACACGGACAGGGAGTGGTTATTATGATCTGCAGACCCTTCAAAAGGAGATTTTATAAGAGACTTGTGGCCCTGGCCTAATTTCCCCTGAGCTTCTAAGCTGCCTATAGTTCCTGCTGGCACCACCCATCTCCTTGTATTTCTCTGGGGTTATCTGCAGCTGGTCTGCAGCCAGGTATGCCATACTTTACTAATCTCTTCAGAAGTCTGAACAATCCCTAAGGTTATGAGAGGTGCCCCATCAAAATCTCAGCTGGCCGTGCAGAAGTCAGGACTCTGCCACAAGCTACTCCAAGGCCCCTTCACCCTGATTTCCAATGGGCCCGTTTGCTCAGGGACTGTACATGTGCCTTATTGGGAGGCGTCTTGTTTCCCACCGCCAAGCCCGTCAGCTTCCTGGTATGGGAGAGGCTGCTGGCTAGCTTGGGCTTCCCCTCAGTGCTGGGTAGGTCAGGACTTCAGACCTAAAATTAGATCATTGGTTCTCAACCCTTCTGCACATGAGCAGCTTTTAGGTAGGGAGATTTTGCTTTGTTCTGTTATGTTTTGAATACTTATGCCTGGGCCCCGAACCCCAAGAATCTGATTTAATTGGTTTGGGATTGAGCCCAGGCATTAGGGGATGTTTTTAAAAAGTTGCTCAGCAGGATATAATAGAAAAAGACTGACAATAATAAGTATTGGCAAGGACATAGAGAAACTAGAACTCTCATACTTTGCTGCTAGGAATGTAAAATGATGCAGCGGCTTTGGAAAGCATTTCAAAGTTCCTTATAAAGTTAAACATAAACTTACTACACAGGAATTCCACTCCTAGGCCTCTATAAGGGGCCTGTATAGTTTGCCCAACAAAAAGGAAAACATTTGTTCACACAAACACTTGTACATAAATATCCATAGTAGCTTTATTCATAACAGCCGAAAAGTGCAAACAATACAAATGTCCACTAACTGGTAAACAAATAAACAAAATGTGGTATATCTATACAATGGAATACTGTCCAGCAGTTAAAAAAAATGAACTACTGATACATGCTACTATATGGACAGATCCTCAAAACATTATGCTAAGTAAAAGAAGCAAGACATAAAGGTTACATTTTATATGATTTCACTCATATGAAAGGTCCAGAAAAGGCAAATCTATATAAAGGCAGAAAGCATGTTGTGGTTAACCTGGGATTGGCGGGGCGGGAAGAGGGGTTGGCTGCAAATAGATACAAGAGATTTTTGGGGGTTGATGGAATGTTCTAAAACTGAGTCGTGGTGATGTGACAGTGTACGTTTACTCAAATTCATTGAATTGTCTATTCGAAACAGGTGAATCTCGTGGTATGTAAATTATACCCCAATAAAGCTGTTCAAAAGGTTTTTCCCAGCCAGGGTTGAGATCTCTGGGTTAGAAGCCAAGTGTCCTAGGAACCCCTCAGCTGGGACCCAGGCTCAGTTGGTGTCCTCCTCCCTGCCCCCTACCTTGGCTCTATGTCGAAGCTTCCTCTGATCTCAGACTTTCAGGAAGCTGCTAGTTGTCATTCTTGCTTTTTTTTGGTAGAAGTCTGGGATTTAATTCTGCTCACTCAGCTCATATAAATGTAAATATCCTGCCTCTTGGCCACTGTGCCCAAAATAGAAAAATGGGCTTCAGAGGGGATGGATGGGATGGTGGCAGGAACTCACCACGGGTCCCCCCAACCCCCATCTGAGATGAGCCAAATACCAGCTGTGGAGGCTGAGCACAATCTGGAACACGGACTGAATTCTGGATCCAAGGTCCTGTTTTGACCTGCACTTCCCTCAGGCCCTGGCGGTGCTCAGACTGACTAGTTCTCGGAGCCTACCTTACCTTTCCACACCTCCGGGCCTTGGCACAGACTGTATCCTTCCCCTTCCTTGCCCACCTGGAAAATTCTATTCTTCCCACATGATTCAACCCACCAACATCTCTTCTGAAGCCTTCTCCTTTGTATGCCCCCTCCCAGTCATCCCATCAGAGCCCTTATCTCCTTGCAGCTTTGTTTATGTGTCTGCCTCTCCCATTCCTCTGTGAGCTCCCTGAGAGCAAAAAGCCTGCCTCATTTCTCACTGGTTCTCAAGAGTCTAGGGCAGGCCCGAATGCATATCAGGCCCAGCTGAAAAATGGAAGGGTGCATGACACCACATCAGACGCTTACAGGGCCTGGAAGACCAGAGGAGACGCCTCATTCTCATCTATTCCTGGCCTAAATGGCTTCTCTCATGTGGCCCCAGAATGGCCAGAGAGCCGAGAGGCACTCCCTGTGGAAACCACAGTTTGGTGTAGAAATCTCCCTTCTACAGCCTTCCTGGGGCCAGGCCCACGTTCCTTGGAAACAGCCTCAGTGTTATTTAAACTGCAGAACAGGGCCCACGGGCAGCTCAGGCCCAGCCTGGGTGGGGGCAGCGTGGAACAGGGTCATGCTGGAGCCTCCCTTCTCCAACCGCCAGGACCTCAAGGCTCAAAATATACGGTTCTCTCTCAGCTGCTTCTTGCTGTAGTGGAAGATAGCAAGGGGGTTCAGGTATGTGGCAATCTCAGTCTGTATGTTTATGTTTCTGCTTTAACGTGGAGACTGGGCTTTGTCCTGAGTCGAGGCTGGATCCTCAGAGGCCTTGACTGCAGGCTCTCAGTCAGGACTAACAGAGAAGCCCCGCTTATCCCAACCATCTCTCCCAATGCAACCCTGCTGTCCAGAAAGGCTTCTTAGTCCAGAAAAGATCACAGAGTACTTGAAAGCCCTAGAACCTTTGCTCGACTTGCTCATCCCCATCTTTGCAGTAGAGGATGCCAGACTGCTGCCAGGGACCTTTCCACAGTGGGAAGCTCATGCTTTTCTTGGCATCCCAAAGGGTGCTGCCTTGGTGTTCCCGTCACAGAAACCAGAGCCAGGAATAGAAACTGGATACCTGAAAAAGTCACCCAGACTTCAACTCAGTGTGGTCTGTCCACGGTCAACAAATAAGCAGTCATAGCCTAGTAGATGAAGAAAATGGACAAACACTGAGCACGAGTCACTATGGAAATACAGAGCAGGGGAACTGACTTGGCCTGGGGGAAGGCGAGTTCAGAGAAGGCTTTCTTAGGTGGAGGTGACACCTAAGACTTAAAGGCTGAATTAGGCAAGGAGAGGGGGAAGAGTGAGAATAAACAGCATATGCAAAGGCCTAGGGTCAAGAGAGAACCTGGCACATTTAGGTAGTTCAAGATGGCTGGGACCATATGGAGAGATGGTTTGAAGGTCCAGATCGTGAATAACAAGAATGTATGTAAAGTGCTTGGTACAGCTCATAGTAAATGCTCTGCCATAGTAGCTCTCATTATAATTATGGTCTTGTGAGCCAAGTTAAGAGTTTGGGACTCTATCCTGAAGTCAATGGGGAGACATTCGAGGGTTTTAAGCCCAGATGACTTGATCAGATTTGCAATATGACTAGACTTACAGAGAGTCCTGTGAATGCAAGGTGGATTATGGACTAGGAGAGAAGCAAGCCTGGAGGACCAGAAGACCAGTTTAGAGACTACTATAATAAATTCAGAGGTATAGGGTAGGTTTCAAATATCCCCCAATGGTAGATAAATATACATTGGAAGACAGAATACAGTAATGAAAATGAACTAACTATAGCCACATGCAACAGTATGGATGAGTCTTGCAAATGCAATGTTGAGCAAAAGAAGGCACAAAATAGGATCGTATAATTCCAGTTATATCAAGTTCAAGAAACAGGCAAAACAAAACCGTAGTGTCCAGGGATGCATGCTTTAGTGGTAAAACTATAAAAGGAAGTGATTATCACAAAAGTAGTGGAGACAGTGATTACCCCATTGGGGGTTTCTGCTTGACAATACCTTGACACTAAGCGATGTTTACCCAACGTACATTGTTTTACATTTCTGCTTTGTGCACATTTCTGTATGTGGGCTATTTAATAAAAAGTTTTAAAGTCAATGAGGTTTGCTCTAAAGTAGTGGAAATAAGGATGAGGAGGTTGATTTTGACTATAAGTGGAAAGTAAAGAGATGAGGGTCTGAACCCAGTCGGATGAGAAACCTAGTTTTTTTGTTTTTTGAGATAAAACTGGTATATAAGATTATATTAGTTTCAGGTGTATAACAGAATAATTCAATCTTTGTATACACTACAAAGTGATCACAATAAGTTTAGTTGCCATCACCATACAATTGACCCGCTTCAACCATTTACCCACTCCCAACCCCCTTTCCTTCTGATAAACACCAAATAGCTCTCTGTATCTATTACTTTTGTTTTCCTCTTTTAGATTCTACATATAAGTGAAATAAAAAATCATACATTGTCTTTTTCTGACATTTAGCACAATACCCTCAAGGGCCATTCGTGTTGCTGCAAATGGCAGAATTTCTTTCTTTATGGCCTAGTATTCCATTGTGTATGTGTGTAGCACATCTTTACCAATTCCTCCATCAATGGACATTCACGTTGGCTGCAGTGAACATAGGGGTGCATCCATTTTTTTCAAATTAATGTTTTCATTTCATTTGGATAGGTACCCAGCAGTGGAATACCTGGATCACATGGTAGCTCTCGAACTCCCCCTTACTGTTTTCCATAGTGGCTATACCAATTTAGGTCCCATCAACTGTGCATGAGGGTTCCTTTTTCTTCACATCCTAGCCAACACTAGTTGTTTTTTTGATAGAGAACCCTAGTTAATTACTATTCACATTACTGCCTCCAGTTTTGTTGACACTGTCCCATCTCCACAAGCTGTCTGGCACCAGGTACCAAAGAGGCTGCCCAACTGGGGCATTGGCTGCCTTTGGCTCCAAGTAGGAATTGCAAGGCAAACAGCAGGTGGTAAGCTTGCCCTCTCAAACTCTATCACTGGCAAGATGGCTTACTTGGCCGACCAGAGGTAGATGGAGCTAGTGAGTCCGTGCCCACCCACCACCAAAGAATCCTGCAGGGAGCCGGGTATGGGGAACCTAGCAGCTGCCAGCCTACCGCTGGGCAACTTTTGTGGCTGACTCGAGGTCTACAAGGATTTGCATTGCAACTCGTAGCAATACATACATTAGTGTGGGGAAGCCCCCCAGATACATCATCAGGTCCCAACTTTGCCAAAAACCATCTTTATTGTCTCCCACTACTCGTTCTCCCTTATAATCAAGAACACTTATAACTTGCGCAGTTTTGTTATGGGAGAAGGTTCAATTCGCATGCAGCCTGGTTATTGGAAATGGTTGGAAAATATTTTGGACACTAGTGGGAAGTCGCAGAACTGTACCAGAGCTGGGACCCAGGACCACACTACATTCAGAGATTACGTAACCAGGACTCCGCCTCCGGGTCAGCGACTAAGCCCAAACCTCGCAGGTTCTAAACTCGCCCCGCGCCCCCTGGTGCGCACACTCAGTCCCACCCTGCTAGAGTACCACCCACTTGGGTCCTCCGGCCCCAGCGGGTGTGCTCATGGGGGAAACTGAGGCAGGGGACGTGCTTGTGAGTTTGTTCTTTCCTTAGTTCACAACCCAGGGCCCACAAAGTTGCTTCCCCCTCCTCAGATCCGCAGGATAAAACAGCAGGGAAAAACGAGAGGAAGGGGAGGGGGCCAAAATCAAGCAGGGACTGAGGACCGGCCGGACTTGCCACACTCAAGATGGCGGCACGACAGCGGCGAAGTCCCTCAAAGGCGGTACCGACGCATGCGCAGCGCGGAGTCCCGGCCCGGGACACAAGATGGCGGGAGCGGCACTGGGGAGGGCGAGGCGGAGGCGGCAAAACGGGCGGCCGAGCAGAACGTATAGCCGCGTCCCCTCGAGTCCGCTTCGGGCAGGTAAGCGCCCCAGGAAGTCATGGTCCCGCCGCGAGCCGCGCCAGCGTCCGGGGTCCGAAGCCGAGCAGCGGTGGCCCATCCGATGCTTTCCACTCGGGGCCACGGCTTGCCTCGTCCCTGCCGCCGCCGCCATCTTAGGCCCGTGGGTGGGCGACCAGGCCGATGGTCTGGGTGAGGGAGGTGGGCCTGGAGAGCGCGGGCGGAGCGGCCTCCAGGGCCCCTCCACTGCCGCCGCCACCGCCTTTGTGTCGGGCTCCGACTCTGAGTCGCCTCAGCCCGGGGGCGGGA